AGAAAGAAAGAGATGACGGCTTGGGTCAACGAAAAAGAGATGACCAAACGAGGTTGAAGAATGACGATCTACATTATGTTAGATTAAAAGAAGAGGGATCATTTCAGAGGAAGAATAATGAGGGGAAGAGAGAACGTGATGAATGGCATAGGCTTAAACAGTCCCATGATGAAATTTTACCAAGGCGAGAAAGAGAAGAAACACGTACAGGAATGAGAAGTGGGCGAGGTGCTGAAGACAAAACATGGACTGGTCATCCTAGAGGGAAAGATGAATATAAGGGATCTGGTAGAGAGCATAACTCTAAGGATATTGGGCGGCAGAGCGAGCAGCTTAAGAGAAGGGTCCGAGCTGATAATGATAGTCTTTCCCAGCATAGGGGCTATGAAGACGTTTATGCTCGTGTGAATCAACTCAGTAATAATGAAAAAAGAGCAAGGCATGAAAGGCCTACCACTCATGAAGAACGCATTGCGTTTGCTTCTGACACTTCTAGGCTACATGAAAACAAACACAGAGAGAGCAAGAGAAAGAGTAAAGAATCTGAGAGCGGAGATCATAATTTCTTGATCCCTTCTAAGAGGAATAAAGATGAGCACAGTGGACAGAGAAGTGAGATGGTACGTCTTTCTTTAGACCCGATTCAATAGCATTCCATGAAGGCATAGCTTCCAGTAGAAACTCTGATTGTGAAATGAGTTAATACTACCAAGCTTACATAAGATTGTATTATTAGTAATACTTTGATTATCTAGAAATCTACAAATTGGTTCGATATTTACTGACCCGGTACTGTGATTTTCATATATGCTTGCCCAAGTTTTTTTCTTCTTTCCTTTTTTTTTTTTTTTTTTTCCCGAGTGCTGGGTGGGGGTATATGGAAAGGGTTTCTGTATTCACGTGACTATGTTAAGAAAAGGAGAATTATATGCATTTTTATAGCAAAAAAAGACTTAATTGCTTAAGAATTATAGTAAGTAGTCATGATACCTTAGCAATCTGAGAGCTGCAAGACCACTGCCATCCCGCCAGCAGAAAACAAGGAACTTATCCAATCGCGCGTGTGTGACGAAACTTGCTAGAGTAGCTTCCCATCACACATGTATTAGGATAGTAGTACACATGTATCTAGATTTCCCTTTGCCCAAAATGTGGTGCTTGAATTCAAGTAAAAACATTGTCATGCACTCAGGTTCAAATAATTTATTTTATTTTTTGTCTTTAAATAACATTTTGGCACTCAGAAGTCAGATGAGAACTTCTGACAATACTAGTAGGAGATACCTTTTGAATCTCTAATAAAGTAAATAATCTCAAGTCTCTTACCTTAATTGAATTTCGATAGATTATTGGGTAGTATTAGAAGCATATCCATTTTTTGCAACTTTTGTCATCCCTAGATGTTTAATAGATCCTGAAATCTGGGCCACTTCTCGCTAACTCAGAAATGCAAAAAGTGCAGACATCAGTTTTTTAAACTCAATAATTTCAAAATAGTAATTACCGAATAGGGTATTCTCAAACAATGAATTCTGATATCATGAATAGGAAATGAAGTTATTCAATATGGGACCAACAGATTAGAAGGCTACTAAAATTGTTTTGGTGGTTTGAAGAGGAGGACAACATAGATTTCAGATACCTTGGCAATTCATGTACTACAGTGCAAGCCAAGCGTGATACTCTAGTTCTATGATTACAGAAATTTCGCAATTGCAGTCTTAATCATGAAAAGTGACCAATGGAAGATGAAAGGGAAAACTCATGTTAGATTGAAGTGAAATCTAGTACTTTTATCTTTTTCCTTTTCTTTTTCCCGTTAAAAATAATAACTAGGTAGCTTCATGAATGATGGAAACCACTTCACTAACTACACATACAAAAGTAAATTGATGAACCTCATGCTTCCCTTTTAATTTAACAATGACAGAGAAAATATATTTGAAATGAAATGACAATTGCTGTTTCTAAAAGGAAAGTATCTCTCCTTTTTACCTCTTAGAATGTCTGTTTATGTGCTCATGTTCTACTCCTACAATCTTATAATTTCCTTTCTCCGATTATTCAAATGTGCTGTACTGTGCTCCTATTCTATCCCGTAGTGCAGAACGATGGTGCCAGATTAATAATGTTAAGATGTGTAAAAAGAAAGAAGAGTAAGAAATTTACTGGATGCTAAATGTGGCAATGGCAGTGTTCTGTTTACAGGATGGCAGATAGAGACCAAATGGAACTATATTTGACAGATTAAACAACATGCTATCTTTGAGCACGTATCTTTTGGGTCACTCGATCACCCTTCAATTTGAATTAGCAATGTCTCCTTGCATGATATGGATTCCTTACATTCATAATCTGGATGAGTAGTTGAAAATTCAGCTTCGTGAATTACGTATTTCGGTTGCTTTACTTATGCTGTTTCTTTGAGGCGATACATGTGTGATGTAAAATTGGATTCTGTTGGCAAAATTGCCATGTCAAGAATACAAAATCAGTCTCTTTAAGTTTTGGTTTAATCTGTTTACACATCCTTTTCTTCTGCTGTTGTTTCTGAATGATTTTTTTATGTAGCGCTTGTTAATTTCTAATGAGTTTTACAATTTTTAGTTTTGGTGGACCTTTTATTATAAACAGCCTATTTTCTTATTGGTTCGCGATCATATCCTTACAGATTCCTTTAACTCGGAATTATAATAAGTGAGACAATGTGCTTTTTATTCTTGTAATTTTCACATACTTTTTCCAGCCTTTTTTGTCTTGGCAGGACAGAGGTCGGAAGAGAAGGTGGGAGGGGAGAGTGAGATGTATTATTACTTAAATCATTGACATAAATCATGGTTTAATAACTTCTATATATTTGTATACAGCAATTACATCTGATGAGAATTCAGGAATCTGGAGCCTCACTGCTAACACTAGTTACAATGCATACATAAATGACTCCAATCCTTCACACACAACTTTAACTCTTCAGTAAATGATTTTATGGAAATTTGGGGTGCATGGTGGATCTGGAGCTGTTGATTGGTGGCATTGCATTACTAAACCCCCGACGGTCCAAATCAAGAATGCATTGCTCACTTGGACAGAAATGGACCAAAAAGCTAGAGAGTGAACTCTCAAATAAATATTTAGATAGTGAAGTTTTTCTAGATTAATTATTGCTCCAGATGCCCAACAAATCATTCTGTGCTTTATTTGAATTATAATTTTCTTGCTGCAAGCTGTACCCTTTCCTTCTTTTATAGCTTTTTCCATATTTTTCCCCTTTTCTCTGGGATAAGCTTTTTACCATATGGAATGAACTGTTTGACAAGATTACTATTTTTCTTCACTTTCCACTTTCCCCCTTTAGGTGAAATTGAGAAACAGAACAGGTCAAGAAAGTGGTGAGAATGAAATCTGTGTAAATAGTGATCCTTCCAGAAAGCGCAAGGAAGAGGTCTCATCAGATGAGGAGCAGCCTAACTCGATGAAGGGACGCTCTAAATTGGAACGCTGGATGAGCCACAAGGAAAGGGATTTCAGTATGACTTCCAAATCATCTTATTTGAAGAGTAAAGATGTAGGCACTTACACAGCCCGTGACACTTCCTTGGTCAGCAAACTTCCCGATGGACTTTCAAAACAGGTGGAAGGTCAGACTCAGCCTTCGGCTAAAGAGAAAGACACTGGAGGTGCAGAAGTCAATGATGCCGATACAAAACCAATGGATGACAGACACTTGGATACAGTGGCGAAGTTGAAGAAGCGAAGTGAGCGTTTCAAGCTCCCTATGCCAAGTGAAAAGGATGCCATGGTGATAAAGAAAATTGAAAGTGAACCTTTACCTTCAGGGCAAATTGAAACCCAGCCAGATTCAGAGATCAAACCAGAGCGTCCAGCACGAAAAAGGAGGTGGACTGGAAATTTGAATTGAGCAGCAGAGCTTCGGTTGATCTTTAATTTCTCTTCCCGATTATATTATATCTGCTTTGCACCTTTTTTACGGTCACGACATGCCTAGTTTGTGACCTGCCATTATAATGTACCCCTTTAATAGGATGACAGAACTGTATCCATGAGACAGGCATTACTTTTTCATTTTTAGTACGTGTATACATGATTAAATATAACATGACACTGGCCGCTGATGGGGCTTAACTATAACTTCTGAAGTCATTTATAGATGTATGGCATCTATAAAGTGCTACTAGTGAATAAGGTACCTTAGGATCTGGCCTTGCGTGAAGATGAAGCTCCGCGAATGGAGGTTGTTTTTGCTTGGCTTCTTTAAAATTAGAATGTTTTGAGATTTGGAGAATGCTCAGAACCCAGCAAATGAATGAGAACGAAGCTTTGGATCGCAGAGGGAACTGTGGGTAAGAATATGATTAGAACCAGATGAATATGGTTGCTAGTGTTGTATTGTATCTGGATTAGTTTTCTTTTACATTTTTACCACATTTTTTGACTTAAAAATTTTGGTTGTTCATGTTGTTTTGAAGCCAAATAAGATATAGAAGTAATGAAAGAAGGGGAATTATAATGATAAACCGGTGTTCATCTTGAGATTAAGTTCAATCAGTTTGCAGGTTTCTGAATTTCATACGATATGAAATCATTGCAGAGCTTTCGGATTTTTGATTTTGCAATGTTAATGGTATAACCATGCATGGTTGGAATTGACAGTGCAGGATGGAGTTTCAAATAGGCAGTTTAAATCTTTGTATGCAAGAATTAAACCATTTATAAATTAGACCGTTTTAAACGTAACAATCAAACCTACCTTATTACTAATAATATTCAAATAACAATCGAACAAAACCACAAGTTATATCAAGATAATTCGATTGACACGACCATACACGACCCACTACAACCATCAGTATTATTGGAGGTCATATTCAAGAAACGACTCGACTATCGATCTCTAAATATCCTTCTAATGGTACACTTGTACGGCTATCAACTGTCCACGTATATCACCAAAATCTCACGACACCTTTATATACATCTCATGACCCAATAATCCGATTCACCTTATCTAGATCTCTCTCATTTTATTGCAAGAATAATCTCAAGAAATGGCCAAGAAAGAGATGGAAGTGGTGAAGGGTTTGGACATAGAAAAATACATGGGAAGATGGTACGAAATAGCTTCATTTCCATCGAGATTTCAGCCCAAAAATGGTGTAAATACAAGAGCCACTTACACCCTGAATCCTGATGGCACTGTACATGTTCTTAATGAGACATGGAGTGACGGAAAAAGAGGGTTCATTGAAGGCACTGCATATAAGTCTGATCCCAATAGTGACGAGGCGAAACTCAAAGTCAAATTCTATGTGCCCCCTTTTTTGCCTATAATTCCTGTCACTGGGAATTACTGGGTTTTGTATATTGATGAGGATTATCGGTATGTTTTGATTGGCGAGCCCAGTAGGACGTCTCTTTGGGTATGTCTTTCTCCTCTCTCTTTTGTTCCTTTCATATATATCTTTAGCTTTTTGAGGGTTACCCGAATTAGATGATTTGTTTTTATGTTTTTCATATTAATAATTCTGGATGGTTTTAGAGCCTGTTTGGCTGAGCTTAAGAAAAGAACTATAGTTATTTGAGGATAAAGATAGCTATTAGAGTTGTCTTTAATGTTAAAGTGTATTTTGGAACTCATTCTTGTTGCTTATAAGTAAATTTGTGTGAGAAAACTCTTTAGGCTTCGCCAGGCATGCTTGATGTTTAGTAAGTTGGATGAACACAATATTTGAACAGAAGAAACTCTCAAGTCTGAACAATAAAATTATGTGCTTGTTTGGGAAAAATTATCATCACAGATCTAAAACTACTACTCAACTATTCACTACTCATTTATATGACATATTGAAGTAAGAATCATAACAACTTATTTAAGTAATGTATGTATCAAATGTGAGAGAACATAAATGAAGTAAGAATTGTTACAAATGAATTAATGTGTTCCAAAAAATTATTGTGTGTATTTGCTTCAGATCCTGTGCAGGCAGCCCCAACTTGACGAGGAGATACACTACATGCTTGTACAGAAGGCTAAAGATGAAGGATATGATGTGGAGAAACTCCACAAAACACCACAGTCTGATCCTCCACCGAAGAGTGAAGATGCCCCAGCCGACACCAAAGGGTTTTGGTGGATTAAGTCCATTTTCGGGAAGTGATTTAAATATAAAATGTGTGAAAATAACGGAAATAAAAGTGCAGTTTGTTATATCGACTAGTCTTGTTTGGTTGTATTTGCCCTTTGATCTTTGTAAATTATGTAATTTTCAGTGTGTTTTGGATTATCAATGAGAAGTCTGAATGGGAATTTTCAATTCTCCTTGGGTTATCGTCATCATTTTTTATTTTTATTTTTAATTCCTTAAAAGGATTTTAAGGGACTATGGTATTATGGGAAGTGCTACATGTACATAATTGTCTACATAATGATGTTCATAATTACACGTGACATTGAATCTAACATTTAATTCAAATCTCATACTTGCACATCAACAATCGAATGATTCCACATCACATTATGGAATGTGCAATAATTATGTACAAGTAGAATTTTCCTGGTATATAAATGTCCCCCAGAATATCTCCTTTTTAGTACTAATCTCAAAGGTGGATATGTTTGATGACCAAAACATTTTATTTTGTTGTTGATTAGGTTGTACCTCAATAAGGGACATTGACTTTGTTTTAGTTCTTATTAATGGCACGTATCTAGGTATTTTTCCTTCCCTTGTTTCATAATAAATATTTTTATGTCCCTTTCACAATAAGTGACATTGGCTTCAATAAATAGAACGAATTTTAACTTCATTAATATTATGCATATTGAATATAAACTTCATCATTAGTTGTCACCATGAGATACGAGTTCCAAATGTTCGATTCAAGCTTTGCACAAATTGCATCAAAATTCTTGAATGAACTTCCTTCTTCAAATTGCAGCCTGCTCAAATTTTTTGCAATAGCCCTTCTCCCAATTCATTTCTCACGTATGTGACCTCATTCGAACCACAATTTGTCAAGAATGCACAATGTGGGCCCACCTTTGAACCCATTATGGTATCGCCATAGACATTCTTTTGTTTTGCCCTTAGCACAGAGGATAGAATAAATTTCATCCGTCTTTGGTTTCTCTATATGTTTATATTGGATTTTATGTACAATATTAAAGAGATGAAAAAAGATAATCAAGACAAGAGTATACGTGGTTCGACGGTGTGCCTACGTCCACGAGAGTGAAATGGAGATTTCTTTATTTAGTAGTGAAAAATAGAGTTACAACATATTATTTATATTAACCATAGCTTGGGCCCATATAAGACTTTAAGATCCGTACAGAAAATACCCCTGTACTCGATGCCGTCGCTCCACTCTGTTCTATTCGATGAGCTTCGCTCCGCGCCGACATCAGTCCATTTGATCCAGGACCTGTGTTCCATTCTATATGAGTCACATACACAACAGTTTATTTATTTGTTAGTATCAAAATACATATTTTCGTACACACCAATATCCATAAACCTAGCTTATAAGATAGATAAGCTAAAAAATAACTTATAAGTTGAGTTTATGAATTTATGAGATTTCAACTTAAAAAAAGGCAATTGTTTTGGCGAACATGCTCTTCGTTCATGTCTTGTTAAGACGTAAATATAGTACCACTGCACCCACACAAAGAAATGGCCATGCAACTCAGGGTCAATTGACCCACCGACTGTTCTTCCAACTCTCTCAACGCGTATCGTAATTATTTACAGCATATAAATCCTAAAAAGCCCCGTTTAATGCTACACTCTTAGATCCCATTCCAATACGGCCGCTATTCTTCCTTTCACACACACTGAGAGAGAGATGGGCAGGAGATCTGGAGCTTGCTTGAGATGTTGTTTGCTGATATTTGCGATGGTGTCTGCACTTTGTGTATCTGGGCCTGCTTTTTATTGGAAATTCAAGAAGAGTCTGGCATTGGAAGGCGTTTCGGCTTCTTGTACTCCTTGCATCTGCGATTGTCCATCTCCTCAATCCCTTCTTCAGATTGCCCCTGGTATGTGCTTTTGGACTCTTCTCTGATCGTAAATAGGCTTTATCAATGAATTTGGCATCTGGGTTCTCGTGATTTTGGTGATTATGATATAATTTGTAGTTTTCCATTGAATTTAAAAGGCATTGTTGGGTAGTTTAAGTTTTTATGCTATTTTAGGTCATCATTTCTTTATTGATTCGGAAGAATTCGATCCGTGCACTGGTCTCTTCTCTTTTCTTGACCAGTCAAATAATACATGGGAAGGTGAATATTATTTTCACTCATTTGTTGGACACGATAATTACATGCTGCTTATTAAACCAGTGGCATTGACTTTATTTGTCTCGGGTGTGTAAGAGTGCTTTTCCCAAGCTAATGCTTCATTTAGAAGATAAGTTCTTGATGTGGAATGAACTTGATTCATTTTGTACTAGAGTTTCTTTTGAGGGAGTAATTCGCTTGATTTTAAAAGGAACAAATTAGACAAGTGTGCTGGCTACATTCTGCATAAAATTGGGAAGGAAGAAAAATTTTTATAAATTGTTTTAAAAAAAAAAAAAAAAACTATTTATTCTTCTTAGTTCCTTGTACAGACATATTATTTTAACAAATTTCCATGAATATGATGCGCTATTGTTGCAAATCTCAGTGAATTCAGGGTGTGAACAATAAAAGAAACTAAGAAGAATGAAGATATCCTATCTAGTTATATGGTCTATATAATTAGTGGATTCTTTGATACTAAAGTGATTAATATGCAAAGTAGTCAGTGAAATTTGAAAACCATATCCTCATTTGCATTGTTTGGGAATCAAATTAACTTTCTCATTAATGCTTGTGTACATTATTTTACGAGGACCACACAGTTGTAAGTTATTTGGTTTGGTTATCTTGATAAGTCATGCCACATTGGTAGTAAAGTATCCCCTATTATATTTTACTAAAAGAAGGTTGGCAAGCCTTGCCAAGTGTCTTTATTGACCTTGGGAAATGAAGATAGATTGTGACTTATCTTTGTAAAGTATTGTGAACAATTACAATAAATGGAAACTTACATCTCATTATTGGCAATCATGAACTCCATTTAAAAAAAAGTTAATTGTATACCAGAACTGAGTCTTTCCATGACTCGAGAATTACTAAAGATATGCATTTTCTGCGAAAACTTGATTTTAATGTTAAAAACTGGAGTTTAATGACAAAGAACGAACCACTTGGATCTTTTTGAGTTGGCTAGATGTTTTGCATACAATTAGGCACTTTTTATACTTGCCTAAATGAACTATTCATTGGAGAGAAATATTCTCTTACATTAAACATCTCTCTCTTTTCCCTTATGTATACCATGGGCTACTTTTACAATCTCATTTATATCAATTAACGAAAAGCAAGGCCAAGCAAAGTCTCGTCTGCTAATTCAATTTGGCCGAGTTAGAGAGGGTCTTCTCTCATTCATTTTCTCGTGATCAGCATAGTATGTATGTATGTATCTATATATATATATATATATATATATATATATATATATATTATTTTATTTTCTTTTGGTATGGAAGTTAGCCCCTTACTGTCAAAAGAAGGGAAATTGTTCAATGACTATGTAGTATTGAACTTTTAGCTATGGAACATCTTTTTATGCAGTATTTCCCTTTAGCTGGCGCCCAAAAAAAATAATAATAAAAAACAACAAAGTGTAAGCATTGTAATGATTTCTGGGATTCATACTACAATGCTAGTATTAGCAGCCTTGAGGTCATTTTCAGTATCCTACCTTGTATGTTTTTGTTTTCAGATTGCTTGTTTGATTACTAGATGCATTATATTTGGTTCGGACTTGTTGGGGACTAGAAAATTAATTTGCATTAACACTTTCGACCTTTTTCTTTGTTTGCAGGTTTGGCTAATCTTTCTGTCCCTGGTAAGAATTCCATGCGATAAAAAGAACTTCCTTTTACCCTTCCCCTTTCATCCTGGGAGAAATCTGGGGTGGGATCTGCATGGGAAAAAAAAATTGGACTCTGATGTTCATTTGTGACAATATAAAATATTTACAGTTGGTTGAGAACTGGCATGAATGAACTTGGGAAATAAACTTATGTTGCTTTTTCATTCTTACAATTTATAAAATGGTTCCAAAATTTGGAAGTTGGCACCAAACTGGACTTGTCATTCTGCCTTGTAAGGTGTCATCTCTGTTCTTTCTTGTCTCGAGTATCCTAACTCATTGCCTGGAGATAAAATTTGATCAATAATGTTATTAAAAAGACAAACCCTCAATTCATTGCATTGATCACTCTAGCAATTAATGGTAAAATCTAGTTGATGATGGACTCAGGTTACATCATTGGGTTGGGATCATAATTGTTTAGATGCCATTGTCAAGAGAAAATAGCCCGTTTCAGTTCTGAACTCAGAAATCTTTTGCCCATAAGACATTGATAATTTACAATGATGCTCAATCTTTTGTGATAAATTCGCCTACCTGCATGATGTTGCAAGTGCAGCTTGGGAGGGATTTCGTGTAGGAATTAGAATTCTTTTCGGTGATTTAGATACTGGACACAAATATTACAAGGAATCCATGAGCATGAGTTTGAGTACATCGTTTTAATCCTTTAGGTATCATCTTATGATGAGTTTTTCTGCATTTGTTCTGAATTCATGATGCGTATTAAATTTTCATTGCAATAGATTGCGGAAAAGATGATCCTGATCTGAAGGAAGAGATGGAGAAGCAGTTTGTGGACTTGTTATCAGAAGAACTCAAACTGCAAGAAACTGTCAGCGAAGAGCACTCCCAACGAATGAACATCACATTTGGGGAGGCTAAAAGACTGGCATCCCAATACCAGAGGGAGGCCGAGAAATGCAATACTGCCACAGAAACGTGTGAGGCAGCCAGAGAACGAGCTGTGGCACTGCTCACTAGGGAGAAAAAGGTAACTATTTTGTGGGAACAAAGAGCTCGACAACTCGGTTGGGAAGGGGAATAGTTACAACTAACTACTTAATTTCTGATGCTCTATATGAAACCTATATATGCTCAAAACTTAAAATTTTTTACTAAATTTTCTGTCGTAGACACCCCCTCTTTTTTTCTATAGATAAACATCATTCAAAAGTTTTGCAAACAGTTTTTTGATCTGTGTATGGGATTCTTTTTTTTTTTTAATCAGTATTCCTTCTTTTAAGTGTGTTAAGAATTTCTAATGTGTCAGGGGCCTCTCAGCATTACCTTCAAGAACCGAGTTCCATTAAATCTAGCCAGATCAAGTATTTGTGTGTGTTTGAATTCTTTCGTTTGTTTTGGGGGGTGATCAGTAACGAAAAGTTGATAACTTTGTACATGTTTTATCAAGCGAATTCATAATAATAATAATAATAATAATAATCAAGAAGAAAGTTAGACTCATATCACAACACGTCCTACATAATTTGCTACTGCGTATCGAACATGCACAATATCATTACATCGAATTGGGCATTCTGATTCCAGAATCAATTGATTGATGATTTTTATGAAGAATTGTGCAATTTGTTCGTTATTCCATGGCATATCTTAACCTATAATTCATCAAAAATTAACATGTCCTGATGTAAATATCTTTGATATAGATTCATTTTTGAGAAGTTTTGTTTTGCCTTTTTGTTTTTGTTTTATTATTTATTTATTTTGGTATCAATTAATTTATTTTGTTTTTAATGTGTTTTAAAGGAGTATTTCGGTTATTAATAGTAAACATAGACGTGAATCAGAGTCGCTCGATTTGTTATGATCATCTAGAAAATTTGCATCGTATAGGGGCTTCTTTCATTCAATATGATTTGAACATATTTTGTGCATGAACTTGACATAGCCGTATACAAACATAACATATATCAAGCCTAACATATTCTATAACTCAATTGCAAGAAAAAAAATAAAAAATCTTAATTTTCCTAAATAATTGTAGTTAGTTCTTAGTAGATAAATAGTAAAATTTTGCATCGTTCATGTACAAAAATATTAATTAGTATATGAATGTTTACACTACTTATTCTACTAAAAATGATCTTTTGAGATAGAAAATTCATATGATATTAGAGTTCAAAACATTTAAAAAAGCCATTCGATTCATCTAAAACTCAAATAAAAGGTAAGATTTCAACATTAATGTTCTTGTATGGCCACCATTTTTCTAAGCACATTAAAGCCAAATATCCATGTATGTTGTTACGGTAATGTAGTTTCAAATGCTGCTCTTAATATTGTTGAATTTTTAAGATGAAAATTCAAGACTCATTATTGTTACATTTTTTTCAATATGACGGGATGATACAATAAACATGATTAAACATAAATATTATCTTGATACAATTGACATGGCCCTATATATCAAATATACGTGTATCAAACTTATAATTCCTTGGTCGGATTTTATGCAAACAAACTTAGTCCTGAATCTATCCCGGCTGTGGTCCTTATTATCCCAAGGAGTAGAATAGAGAACCGAATGTATAATCTAGAAAATATTATATATTCTATATGCTTTCTTATTTTAAGATTTCATTTTCTGATTTTATTGTGTTGTGATAGCTAACATAGTGATTGTTGACATCATTTTTCTAATCTTTCTTGATATATGTTCATTTCTATATACAATATAATTGGGTCAACAATTAAATTTTATATTATACTAGTCGCTATCACGTGCGTTACACAAATTTTGTATTTATCGTATTTTTATTAGTGTATGAATTTTAGTTTTTTTGAAAAGTTTTTGAAACTATCTAAAAATATTTCCATAATATAAGAAAATAATTGTAAATTATTTTTACAATTGCATAGGAGTATGTTATCCAGAAAAAATATGCTTGTATATTTCATGCTTGAATAAGAAATATAAAAATCATTTTGCTTGTATTCTTTGATAATGTTAATATGATTGAATTGAATGTGAAGATTATATTTCTAAATTTTGTGTAATTCAATATTGTAAAATAAAAAAAAACTTTCCGCACAGTGTGTAGAGTTCGCAAACTCTTCGCGCAGTAAAGAAAAAAACATTTCTGCACAGTGCGAAGAGATGACAAACCAACCCTCAGAGCAAAAAAAAAAAAAAAAAAAAAAAAAACTCTTCGCACTCTGCGAAGAGAGTTAATCTCTTCACACAGTGCGGAGAGTTGGTCTGCACCATGACAAAACTCTCCGCACAGTGCGGAGAGAAAAAACTCTCCCCACAGTGCGTAGAGAGTCGAACGATGTGCGGAGAGAAAAAAACATTTCCGTACAGTGCGGAAAGAGTTGAACCATGTGTGGAGAGTTGGCAAACTCTTCGCACAGTGCGAAATAAAAAAAACTCTCTGCACAGTGCGGAGAGATGACAAACCAGCTCTCCGCACAGTACAGAGAGAAAAAACTCTCCGCACAGTACGAAGAGTTATTTTCAAATTCCTTAATTACAAGTCAAATTTCAAGATTGTAAAATTTTCATATATACAACGAAACAGAGTCAAAAAACATGGCTCAAAATCAATTATGTTTTCTTTAAATTCCAGTCACAGTTCAATTTCTGAGCATGCAAATCATATTTAAGATATTTGAAAGGAGCTTTCTCGTGATTCATACAATGAAATAATATGTGAGTTATGCAAAGAAGGAAATATTGACAGTACCATGACATTTCTTTCACAAATGGAGGCTCTAGGGTACCACTCAAATTCAATATTTTACACTTGCTTGATAACAACTCTTGGACATTAGAAGCGGATACAATTTTCAATGAAATTATACTTTCGGGTTGTAGGTCAGGAATTAAAATGTTCAATACATTGCTCAAAAGTTGTTTGAGAAAATGCCTCTTCGAACTTGCAGATAAAGTTCTGAGAGTTTTTGTTTTTCTTTTTACACTGTGCGGAGAGATAATTTGTCATCTCTTCGCACTTTGTGGAGTCTTTTTTTTTTTTGCTCATACGCGGAGATCTTTTTTTTTTTTGTCTCATGGAGTTTATATATACTAATTTTTTTTAATGTTGTTGGCATGATGTATGTGTGGAAAAATATTTGTCAATCATCATAAACAAAATTCTTCACAAAATGCAAAAAATAAAAATGTATAATAAATCTTCTTATTACGCTAATAAAATTAAAATATATATATTTTTTTTACAAATAACATAAAAAAATCATTTTTATTTTCAACAAAAAAATACATTTAAAAATTAACAATTTCATAATCACTTTTTTTTTTAAATTCTCGAAAATACAATTATAAAAAAGGAAACAATATTGAATTATAACATTTAATACTTAAGAAATTCAATATTAAACAAATTTTATACATTTACAACAAATTATAAATCCATATATGCAGCTTACCGTATTTGCAAATAACTTACTATATTTGCACCTTACCGTATATATTGCCTACTGTATTTGCAAACAACTTACCGTATTTTCACCTTATCGTATTTGTAACTTATCATAAATGCTGCTTACCGTATTTGCAACTTACCGTATATGCTGTCTATTGTATTGCAGCTTATTGTATTTTTATATATCGATTTTTGTACTTACAAATACTGAGAATGCAGAATACCATACATTCACTTACCAAACCAAATTCACTTACCAAACCAAATTTTAAAAAAATTCCTAGATTTTTATTCTTTCAACATAAGCATAAAATAAATATTAAATATATATGAAGCACAAAATATAAATGTATATGAATATGATGCTCAATCTTCAATTTTCTAATATTGAATTACACAAAATTTAGAAATATAATATTCACATTCAACTCAATCATATCAATACTATCAAAGAATACAGGCAAAATAATTTGTATAATCTCATATATTTCTTATTCAAGTATGAAATATACAAGTATATATTTTTTTAGATGACACAATAGTGTTATGCAATTGTAAAAATAATTTGCAATTATTTTCTTATATCATGGAAATATTTCTAAATATTGTTTCAAAAACTTTCTAAAAAACTAAAATTCATACACTAATAAAAATACGATAAATGTAAAATTCGTACAACGGACGGGACATTCATTGTGCATAGAGTTTTTTTTTTTTTTTTAACTTTGCACTGTATAGAGAGTTTGCCAACTCTTCGCACTGTGCGAAGTTTTTTTTTTTACTCCGCACTTTGTGAGGACAGTGTCCGCACAGATTGTGCGGACTATTCGCACCATAAGCTATCTCTCCGCACTGTGCGAAGAGATTTTTTTTTTACTTCACACAGTATGGAGAGTTTGCCAACTCTTCGCACATGGTTTGCCATCTCTCATACTATGCGGAGAGTTTTTCTTCTTTTTTTACTCCGCACATGGTTTGCCATCTCTCCACACTGTGCGGAGAATTTATTTTTTATTTTTTAAAACTCATATACGAAGAGTTTTTTTTGGTTGCTCATGGCAGTTTATATTTACTAAAATTATTATTTATTTTTTAATGCTAGTGGTATGATGTGTGGAAGAACATTTGTTTGACATAATTATTTTTTTAATGCTAGTGAAATGATGTGTGGAAGAACATTTATTTGACATAACTAAAATGAAAAAAAAATGACATCATGCATATTAAAATTGGATTCATTTACTATTGTATGAATAGTAGACCTTCATTTCCCTTTTTATTAGAAGTTAGATACATGATAGAAATGGGCAGGAGTGAAATTAACCAGAAGAACCAAAAATCAATTAAAAAAAATTTGAGATACTTCGATTTACAGTTCAAAAATTTCAAAAATGTGGTAATGCAATCAATAAAGGGCAGGTGTTGAGGTGGAGCAATGTCTACTATTTTGTTATGTTTTCAATTTTTTTTATGTTAAATATAAAAATTATGCAAGTAGCATGTTTTAACAAATTTGATTTTTAACTGTAAAATGAATGATCTCATCCAATTAATTCATTCATGCAACAATAATGAAATACTAAAAACCAAAACACTCTGCTGACCTCGCGAATTGGACTCTCCGCGTGGCCAACCGATAGCTACTCCATGTAATCCTCTCTGTGCACAGTCAACGCACGGTCAGATGCACACGGCCGGAATTAGCGGGAGTGGT